TGATCTTAGTGCTTAGTGTAATCTTTTTTCTAACCTTTATATAACTGATAGACTTTATATAACTGCTAGATAGTTCTAAATTATATTATATATAAATATTACTAATTTTTGAAAACGTTATTTAGTTCATTATTTTGAGAAAATGGATAGAAAAGAAAAAATACGCGAACGTGTACAAAAACATCGACGGATTAAGTCTGCATTGAGAAACATTGCTTTCTCTTCTTATTTTTCACGTATGTATTATATTATTCAATAATACAATACAATTTCTCAATATTACAATACAATTATAATATATATTACGTACTCAATATTATAATATAAAATAATATTCAATAATAATCTTTCAATAATACATTAGTTATTAATACTGTTGTATAAAAGTAATCTTTTAATTATTTACTTTTTTATTGTTATGTCTAATACAATACATTTTATTCGATTGATATCCTGTGGACGTCCTTTGAATGTCTTTAGCATGTTTGTATTGTATAGGATTAATATATTATATATTGTACATGTTACAATAGTTACAGAATATTATAATTTTCTATATATTTTTTTTGTTTTCTACATTATATAGATGAACCTGGACATGTAACATACGGTACGAATAAATTGCAGAGCGATATTGCAAATACAAAATTGCAAAAGAAAGAAAAAATAAATATATTAAATGACTCATATAGTGATTCTGAATCTACATTACAAAATTATGTTATTACCGATTCAATTTCAACTGATGAAACATATATTGATGACTATAATGATAATAATGATGGGAAGAATGATCATTGGGAACATGATGAAAATATAAATAAATCAGAGGACAATTCTGAAATTGAAGAACTAAAAAAATGGGCTGTAACATGCAATATCCCATTAGCACATGTTGAAAAGCTTTTAGGGATATTACGAAAAAAACTTTTACCACAACTTCCCAAAAGTGCAGTTACTTTTCTTAATACTTCGCGAGCTATATATAATATAAGAACAATGACAGGAACAAAGGATTGTGTCGGTGAATATGTATATCTGGGAATTCAGAATGGTTTAAAGGAATGTGTCGATCCAAATGTACATGGAGATAATACTATATTTCTTCAAATTAATGTTGACGAAGCATCTCCATATCATTCGAGTACGAAACAATTATGGCCTATATTGTGCAAAGTTACTTTTAATCCAGACATATATTCACCTTTCCCTGTAGCATTATATTATGGAGATACCAAACCAGGAAATATAGATGAATATATGAATGACTTTATTGAAGAAATGAATTTATTACATAAAGATGGTATATATTTTGATGAAAAGAAATATGGTGTGCGATTGAAACATATTATTTGTGACATCCCAGCTAGGAAATTTTTGAAACAAATTAAAGGACATGGAGGACATGCTT